GTATCTTTTTCAAACTTTCAAACATCAAAGGCCAAATTTTCTCATACTTAAAGTTCAGTGTGTGGGGTTAAATGCAGTTAGGGCTGAATAACTGCAGTCCTTAGTGATTAACAGTTTTCATTATTTTTTAAAGTTTGTGTGAGATGTTTGATCAAAAAGATAGAGAAGAAAAAAGACCAGGGGAGGTACCATTACTTTAGATTAACATGACCTTTTACGGGTTAAGAATGTTAAGGATTTACCACAACTATTATCTGATGGAAAATTTTCTTTTCTTCAAAATCTTCCTGCATTGTTTACATGGTTCAGAATTAATGACTCCTGGAAGACCTTGTTAAAGCATAACTTTTTTGAAGGCAAGAATTTTAGTCAAGATTGTCATCATCTGGAATTTCATCAACATAACTTAGACCTTGTTGACTTTGGAAATAGTGTAAGTAGCATAGTTACATGTCAAGTTTTACTGATGGATGATGTAATGATGGGTTACGAATATCATGCTGTTATTCACATATATTTATTAGGCTAAGTTTTAAAACAGGCATGTCAAACTCATTTGCTTTGGCAAGCCAGTTATAGTAGAAGTATGATTTGAGTAGGACAGACAACATAAGTAGTGTGAGAGATAAAAGATCCCTCGATAAGTTGTTTAAAATTAAGTAAAGAATTTTAAAGGGAATGGACAAACGGGCCATTTGATTGAAAAGTCTAAGGTAGTGTTGGGACACATGTTTGACATTCCTGCTTTAAAGCAGTGCTCATGATAAAGGAGAAAGGATTTGCTGAAGTTGTTTACTGAGATCTTAAACTACTGTTACACTATTCATGAATAATAATGGAATTTATAGCTTCCAGTAGGCAGGGTATTGTCTGTCCACTGGTTTAGGATAAAACAATCATCCTGCAGATTATTTATTTTTTGCAATTAGCCAGTCTATAACCATTGTGATGGATTCAACCTCTTCTGCCCATTTTAACACTGAGTGACAAAGAAATACATGAAAATGTAAGACAATTGATTTTTTATGAATAGTATGATAGTGCCATTGCCTTTTTTTCTTTTGTATACCTAATGCAAGTGTTCCTGGTGCAAGCGCAAAAATTTCCATTTTTCTATCACTTAAGGTTCAAATTTTGTGCCTTGGTGCCTGTTGACATTGAGCTTAATATATACCTGTGTAAAGCTTAGTTGAATTGAATTCATGTTACCTTCTTTTTAGTCTAGGTTCTGATTTTTTTTTCCAGACTTTTGATGTTCATAATATGTCTTCAGCTTTTGTAAAGAAAAGATTGTGACTGTACTTTGTCTCATTTATTTTAAACTTTTAAGTATGATTCTGAGATTATGGATATCATGAATGTGAACCCATTCACTTCATATGTAGAAATTAGTGTAGGTTAAATATATCAACATCTATGACCACACTTCCTAGCCATTTGCCTCTGACACTGGTAATTAAGATTATCAAGTGAAATGTAGTGTAATCATAAATTTTGTGAAATCTTATTGCAATAGAGAGAAATAGTTAATGTCTTGTCAGTTTAGCAGGGATAAATGTACCTGTATTGATATGATACTCCAAACCCTCCATCTTTGGAATATGATAGTGAAACTGACACAGAAATCATTTTCATTAAAGCCAGTGGCATTATAATGTTTTTGAACATTGCCTGGTCAGTCACCTCTACCTCAAAAACAAAAAAATTCAAAACAATCAGCTTCAGGTTAAGCTCGGATAATAAAATCCTGTCTTGTTACATAAATAACTATGCAAGATCTCCATTTTCCAAGCAAGTATCCAGAGATTGTTCTTGGCAGTCCTTTGGTACTACCAGGTCTTTCTTTTCCTTAACTTTCTTACATAAGGTTGCAGATCTGTAACAACTTACCATAAATTGATGGTGACATTAGTTACTGTATCGTACGTGTAACTGAATTTGACAGAGCTACCTTCAACTTTTTAAAGTGTCTAAATTTTAGATAGCCTTTTGTTCCAAATCTACAAACAAATGTGTGACAAGTTTTGTGATGAGAAGCTTGTAAATACATCATCTGTCTATTGACAATTTTTCTTTTCTTATACTGCCTTCCCTTTGATTAATCATCCAGCAAGATTAATGTTGCATGTAACGGGTTAAAAGCATCCTACATTTACGGATTTGTATAGACTAAAATATCATAAGTTGATGTAGTAAGTAACAATTCACTAATACAGAAACCATGACTTTCCTACTTATAAGTAAAATGTGTATGGACTACACTTATCATATATCAGAGTCAGTTCTTATACTTTAATAAAAATGTAAATAAAAAGCCCAAGAGTGAAGTATCAGTTTTTCTAACAAAGTCTGATTTTGAGATTAATAATTTGCTGCTAAGCATAGTAATGTCCATTTTAAAGTAATGTCCTTATCAGTATAAGGAGTTCTTGGTTATGATAATTTTTTCAATGCAGGTTATGTATTTTGGTTTCATGAGCAATAAAAAATAGCCTCCATATATTATTATTATTATTTTCCTCAGTATCAGTAATTAGGTCTTATGATGATGCTTGGTAGTTATTTTTCTTTTGAATAGGGTTTGGCTCAAATGTTTTTTCCTAGCTACCTGCTGACAAAGCTTCATATATATATTTGTGTGTGTGTAAAGTTCAGTTAAATTGAATACATGTTACCCTTTTCTTAGTCTAGGATGTGAAAGATTTTTTCAGAACTGTGATGTTGGTAATATTTCTTAAGCTTTTGTAAAGAAAAATTTTGATAGTACTTCATTTCACTTATTTTAATCTTTGAAGTATGATGCTGAGATCATATATATATATATATATATATATATATATATATATATATATATATATATATATATATATATATATATATATATATATAGGTGATGTTCATCTACATTTGATCCAAGTATAAACAGCAGGGTGACTACCTTATATACCTATATAAGTAAATGTACATCAACCCACATGCAAGCATGTATTCCCCTCTCTCAAGGATACAGGCCCCATAACGGACTGTGAGTAATGCCACGCTCGTCAACAGAGAGGCTGAAGGAAAATCTGAGGACCACATCTCACTCCTGGAAACCAGTGGATCAGCTATTACAATATCGACCCCATAAGGTAAGACGTTCTCATTTAAAGCTCAGTTCTCCCTAAAAAAACTTTCATTACTTGATGGCAATTATTATGACGGTTAAAGGGTTTTGGAGAAGTCACTGTGTGGGCCATCACTATGGACGACTGCAAGAGTGTTATTTGCTCCTGTCATTCCTAGTTACATTTTCTGACAGGTCCCAGCTCTGACTTGACAGGTCAGCCAAAGTGGATACTTAATAATCTGATGAAGGAAGAAGAGTTTATAACAAATGAATGAATAAATTTTCAGAACAAACACTCGTATATTCTGAGACTAGTACTCCACACCCAATTCAACCCACGACCCTCCATCCTGTGCGATCAAGATCCTCCCACCCAACCTATGTGACTCTCATGCAGGAGAAGACGAATAAGCAAAGCCAAAAGCAGAAGCACTGATTCGAGCAGATGCCACTTCCTTTACCGCTATTTCGGCGACTCGGCCTTTCGGTACAAATGTCCAAGCGGCCTCCACTGACAGTAGGAGCACTGGCCTGTGACTGGCCCGTCACCTGCCCGGGTCGAAGCAGTTTCATGTTTGTGATCGTTTGACACGACCTTCCTCTCAATATACATCTAATACAAAAAAAAGAGTTCCCGGCCCTTGTAGACGTTGTGAGAGCAATACAGACCCACAGGTCGTGAACCCTACAAAGTCATCCTCAAGAGTGGAACAGCTTTTTTTTTTATTCATAAGGACTTAGTGCTCCTGCTGACAACGGTAGTGAAAGCAGTTGAAGCAGCTTGGGGAAATCTAGTGAGGAGGCAGATAAGGTGGCCAAAGTTACCGTAAGGGCAATAACTCAAGCTGTGGAAGCCTGGCTGCATGGAACCAGCTCCCGCTCCGACTCAGGATGACACTACCCATACCCCTCCCCAGTCCAAGTCGAAACTCAACCCCTGCCTAAGAAGGACAAGGAGAAGCACAGGACTAAGGACAAGGCAACCAACACAAAAACAAAAAAACACCTGCCAAAAGATCAACAGCAGAGCCTCTGGGGTAGTACAATGGTAACGTGTCGGCATCCTGCCTTGGAGCGAAAAGTTTCAACTGTCACTTGGACGTTACTGCTTTGGTTGGGCACCACGATGGGTAGGGTCTGAGCTCACTCGAGTCAGGACTAGCTGAAACGTTGTTTGAATCACCATTAGCTGGCACAGACCAGGCCTCCCCTGACAAGCATAGCCCAGGCATGGCTTTGCTTCGCATATCTAACTTTTATTTATCCTTGAATAACAGCAGTTTGATAGAGATTTCTGCTGCTGAACCTGGCTGTGAGATCAGACATCTATGGCACAAGTTGACTGAGTTCATGGCTCCTGCTGAGAGACTAATCCATCTACTGATTTCCTGATCTGACAGCCCAAAGACATGGAGTGTATTGCAAAGGTATGTTAAGCTCTCTATGACATCAGCGACCTCTTTGTAAGCATGTATCGACTCAACAGGTTCCCCTAACAACCCCCCCCCAAAAAAAAAAAAAAAAAATCCTGGATCTTCGTCTTATTTCAGGAGACCTACACCAAGGATGTATTCATTGCTGAATACTTCAAGAGTCGCCACCAAAGATTACAGAGACTCAGAGAGGATCGCAAAATCAGCAAAGTCAAGATCCGTGAGTTTGATATTGCCTCTGTTGCTCCACAGTGATAATAGTTCTAAAAAGTGTTGGTGGAAGGACACACTCCTGAATTAACTGGGAAGAAGCTCGAAAATCCCCCACCACACTTTACAGCACTTTCATTACTAGTATATAGACTTGCTATTAATCCAATAATCCGTGTCGTAATTCCCCTAAGTCTCAGGATCTTCATAACAATTTGCAATGCACCGAATCAAATGCTTTCTTGATATCGATGTAGGCTGCAAGCAACCCATAACCAAACGCATAATGGCGTTCCACAATGACTCAAAGTGCTAGGATGCGGTCCATTGTAGACTTTCCAGGAGTGAATCCAGACTGCTCCAATCTCTGGTGCCTTAATAGTTGATCACAGATCCGTTTCAGAAAAATGTGGGCGAAATCCTTGCCTGGTATACTAAGCTGTGTCATGCCACGGTAGTTTTAGCAGTCCCAACGATCCCAATTCCGCTTTCAGAGAGGGATGACCACGCCCCTCAGCAGGTATAGAAAAATGGAACCAGACTGCCAGATGGCAGCCAGGAGAGTATGCAAGCCCCTTGCCATTGGTTCACCCCCAGCCTTTAGCAGTTCAGCAGGAATGTCGCATATCCTTGCAGCTTCCCCACCATTCAACTGAATGGATGAGTCTGGCACAGGGATTGCAGTCCATTCCACTGAATGGACTGCAGTCATCTGCAAGGAGGACATGGAGTTCAGTTTTCTCAGGGCTTGGTAGGTAGGATGATCATTTACTAAAAAATGGTCTTCAACCACCTCAGCAAGATTCCTGATGAACTGTTCTTTGTCCCTTCTCGCCAGTGTCCGAACCCCATTCCGAATGCCATTCAGGTGAGCCATGCGACAAGCATCTGTGGCCAGTGTCTCTAGCAAGATGAAATCTTGCCTTGACATCGGGCGTTTGCCAATGGACTCCTTCGCTGCCGCGTGTTTCACACTTGAAGGAATCCTACAGAGCTACAGAGTCTGTCAGGTTTTCGAACACTGTGAATCGATCAGGGAAAGTTGTTGTAAATCTCCAGGCACACTCCTCCAACCTCAGTCTGTCCAAAGAGAATACCCTGGAGTGGCCTTTGGAGGGATGTGGAGTTTTGAAGTGGTCAGTACCACAGGACTTGGCCCTCCAGTAAACCCTACTGTTCTGGAAGATTCTCCAGCAAGTGCTAGCAAGAATGTGGTCCATCTCCTTGGCCACAGTACCCGCATTGCTATACGAAGTCCAGTGGTGTGGGTTGGAGCACAGATACCAGGAGCCAGAAATCCTCAATCTCTGGTACCTTACGTAGTCTTGGGGAAGGAGTCTGTTCTCGCCGCTGAGATGAGCTCCCGAGCCATGGGGACTGATAGACATCTCGTACCCAGTTCGATCACAGCCGGACACTGCACTGATGTCACCCAGTACTATGGGAATGTCTCGCTGGGGACATTTGTCTGCCATAAATGTATTTAGCTTCGAACTCTTTCTCATCGAGTTTGTAAACACCGGTAGGAGCATTTACAGCAATGAGACATAAAGCCAAAAGCATGCTTCAGACTTTATGCTGTAATACCCTGTATGTTAGTCAACCGGAGTAATCTCTACTACCATAGGTTGATGTCGGCCGGAAATGGTGACCAATAACCCGCCTCGACCAGTAGTAAGTGCACCTGCCGCTGCCAGGTCTTTACAGCTCCGACGGGGCAGCCAACTGAACTCCTGTCCGCATTAGTTAAAACCACGGTGGACGACATCTCTGTAATCCCACCAACGTTGCCCCATGCAGAGGGGAGCGGCAGGCTGTGGGGCCCAACATCTGCCAGTTGGGTTTCCTTGGGCTTTGTCCCATGGTATTTACACAGGATTAGCAACTTACAGGTTGCAGGTGGGCTGAGTAACTCACATCCTCATCCTGTGCCTCATTAGTAGCTTGTTGCCAGTGAGTATGTCTGGGGGGAGGAGGACTGACAAGCCCCCCATCCCCCCCCCCAAGCCGCCCATTAGCTCAAGGAGGTTAAGGGGCAGGCTTTGGCACAGAGCCAGGGTTCCTTCTGCTACTCCGAGATCCCCATGGTTTAGCCTGGGACCGGAAGATGCCCAGTTTCCATGAATGGCCATGAGGAGGCACTGCAGAAGTCTCGATGAAGGAGTGGCAATAAACCGGGAGGGGAAGGCTTCTGCAGAGCTACTCCTTTTTCGCACTAGGCTAGCCGGCGGTGGCAACTAAGCGAGAAGGCATGCAGGTACTTCAAACTTATCATAACACTATAATGATGATGGTAGTAATAATAGTAATAGTTATAATAATGATGATAATAGTGATGAAAGTAATGATGGTGATGATTATGATAATGACGGCAATTTAAAATAATAATAACAATTACAATGATAGTATTAATAGTAATAACTACAATCATTATAATTATAATAATTATGACAGCTACAATAATAATAATAATGATGTTACTTACATTGATAATAGTAATGATAATAATAACAAGAACATCATTGATAATAATTTGAACATACACTACCGAGAAAAAGGTGCAAGATCACTGTAGGAATGCAGGACGTATCATTCCAGCAGCATGATTTTGCAATAAAGCAACCTGGCAGGTATGGCAATGGAGAACTCAGATTCATGCAGTGCTATTGCCCTGTACTTAACGGAAGTAATGGCTGTTAAACACAAGGAAGCGAATGCGTTTCTTCCATTTTGTACGAATATAATCCT